CCTGGTTCTGCGGGAGGTTTCTTCCTGTTAAAAGGGAGTTTTTCCTCTCCACTGTCGCTACAAGCATGCTGAGTGTGAGGGATTGAATTTGAGTCAATGATTTGATGCAATCAACTGGTTTTCCTGAGATAGAAAACTTTGAATCAATTTGACTGTATGATCTGGTTGAACTATAAAGTGCCTTGAGATGACATGTTTTGTGACATGGCGGTATATAAATAAACTGTATTGAATTGAATATTTCTAAAAAGAAAAAAAAAGTAAAACAGAGGACTTTAACTAACAGTGTACAGGCTTTTATGTAGCAATAAGTACGGCCGTACTATAGTACACCCTTTACTAAAAACATTAGAAATTGTACACCCTTTTTTGGGAATGTATGGCTTTTTTACGCCCTAATTTTCCTCCGGAATATGGTGGAATATCTAACGTCCCTACAGAAAACTTCATCAGCGGAAACAAGCACGCAGCGCTGTTTGCAAACAGGTAAGCTTCAAACTTTGAAAATTTTATGAAAACTCCCTGAAGGCCTGAAAACTATGGCATTTATTTTTTCTTTGGGACAATAAATCTGTGGAATCAGGGGAAAAACAATAGCTAACATAAATTACATCATGGGAGGCGGGATTGATTGGTACTAAATCTGTAGCAAATATCAAACAGATGCGATTTCTTCATGATTCTTCGAGATAATTGGAGTCTTTATTTCCAAAAGATCGATAAATGGATGCTGTTTGTTGATAAGAGTGTGCTTATTTTGGTATAAATGCCTTTCGGAGCAACACACCCGCTTGTGTAACACATCAGCTTACATTTACAAAATATAGTCAAATACATGAAAATGTGAGAATAAAGTTTCAGAATTAGTTTCAGTGTCAGCTGTATTCCTAACAGAGTAGATCTAGAGAAGTAAAAGCAGCCCTGGCTCACTGCAGATTGTATTTTAGTATTTGTAGACTGTTTTTCAGTTTGTCAAGTTTCACCTGTAGCAGCAAGTTTAAGTTACACTTTCTGATTGTTTCAAATTTCCTATGAACCATAATATTGTACCTAAAAAGGATCTCATGTCTTCCTAATGAAATTTCCACCTCTAGTCAAGGACAAATGCCTCCCATAATCAGGAGTAAATATACATTTAATCATCTAAATAATTTAAACATACGAACAACCAGAAAGTTTAATTCTTTATCTGTTATCTGTTAACTTAATTTCCATTTAAGCATAAATGCAAGCCGAGGTTTGGAGTCAGGAATCATTTTTGCCACCTCCATAATGCAGATCTCTATTCTAGCCAAGCTAAAGTGTAGCAGTGCAACAAAGGAAAGTCCAGAATCACTTTAGCAACAAAAACCCAACTTCTGTTCCTTATGATATCAGTGATTCATACCAACATTCCTTTGGGATGAAGATCTTAAAGTTTACTGTGTCATTTTCTATCTACAATCTTCTCCTATTCAGTCGTTTTCCACAGAATTATTTTTTATCAGGATTATTGAATGTTTTAGTATTGAAGCAATCCCTAACTGACGTACATGGCCTCATAAATTGCGGAGATACTTTATCATGCACGGTTTAATTGAAAATGAAGGGGGAGTGGCGGCCTAGTGGTTAGAACATAGAGATTGGAATCCCAAGGTTGTGAGTTTCAAACCCACTCCGGCTCTCTGAGCAAGAACCTTAAACCCCAATTGTTCCCAAAGGCATCCCACCGTGGCAGCCCCCTGCTACCCAAGGAGATGGGTTAAATGCAGAGGTACATTTGTCCAACGTCAGATCAATAAAAGTTAATTTATTATTATTAAAATACCTGCAAACTATAAAGATTTCAAAATGAGCTCTCACCACCATGCTGGAAGGGTATTAGTGGGTATACTGATTTGTTATGATTGCTTTGTGGTTTGTAATAACAACACTTAGTTTTGTTTTTAGGTATTCTAGCAAAATGTATTGTATCTTGTGCAATAAACTTGTCAACAAAATACACACACAAACACAAAACGTATGATCTTATATCTTCAGCCCAGATGCATATTGGAAAGTGCAGATTTGTTTTTCTTTTTTTAACAGCTGTAAATCACAGGGGAGTTTTAAGCTTTAAACCTAGTGACCAAAAATAAATGAGCTCCATGCTACTCTACTTCATTGAAAAGCATAAGGCTGGGTTGTTTATTGTGAACAACTGAGAAAATTAATAACACTGAATTTTCAGATAAAGAATGGTTCATGTTTATACCTCTATATATCTATATTTTTCTGTTTACTTCAGCTGATGATGCATTTACCTGATAAAAGAACACATCCTTCCTGTCCGTCCCTTCAGTTGCAAACTCCTCTACGATCCCCTCTGGACTGATGCCATGCTCTGCACACAGCTGCTTCCAAAATTCAAAGCCGACTGCAAAAAAAAAAAAAAAAAAAAAGACGACAAGCGCTTTACATTAACAGATGTGTTAAATAAACCAAGAAAACACTAACATAATTGAACTTGCTATCTACTTAGCTGTAACGGCTAACTCATCACATTGGCCCGTTAGCCGTTAAGCTAACACAAAATAGCATTTAAATAAAGAAAACACGTTATAGCTGAATTAGCTATCTGTATAACTAGCTTCAATTTAGCACACAATCTAATAGATCAGGTAGAGTATAATGTAGAGAATGTTCTTCTGCCATACAGTCTGCGTTTATCCAGCAAGTTAGCAATTCCCTTCCGTAACATACTTTGGTTTCCGCACTGTCCAAGCTGAAGAGTTATAATTTCCCGCGGCATGTTCAGTCTTCAGTTGCTCCTTGTACAGCTAGCAGAAGGGCTAGCGATTTCTTTTCAATGTCGGCAGCTGTAATTGTCTCTGTTTTCGACAGATCACCATCAACTGCCCGCTCGTTCCCGCTTGGCGCTGGGTTGGGTCGTTTTCCACTCGCCGGTCAAGGAGGCGTGACCTCGATATAAGTATAGACAAGTGAGATTAAACGATTAATTTGAATCATTGTTGCTCATATTAAAATATGAACCAGAGATAAATAATTTTAAAAATTCTGATGGTAAACGGATAGTAAAGAGTAAAACCCAGATGTTTGTTGTTGTTGTTGTTTGTTTTTTAGCCGCCCGCCTACCTTTTGGTGCGCCGACTTAGCAATGGTGCGGACTATTCGAGCTGACAAGACGAGTTTACTTGGGTGTTCCAGTATTTTGCACTGGACGATATATTGCCTAAAAAATATCCAAAATATGCCTTTAGTGTTATAACATATTTATTAAAAGCTAAACTGGTAGCTTGTTTATCACGACAAAATGTGGGGAACCTATCCTCCCAACTTCTTAGGATTTTAGTTGCACTGTGTTTTAATTTGAAGGCGCTTTACGGAAGCAGTACTGGATTTTTTTTCTTGACCCTCATGTATTCTTCACTATTATTTTTATTTTATTTTATTTATTTATACAGAAAATCATACTTTGAACATATTTGATCATTCTCTAAAATTTAATAAATAAACATTAAAATATTATTATTCTATATAAGTGTGAGACCTGGATCACGTGTGACGTTTCAACTGATATTAGGTTCTCACAGACATTCTGTAGCCCTATTTTTGTTAAATTCTACAAAAACGCATATAGGTCAGTATTTATGTGTAAACAATAAGCTTTTTCAATTTGTAGGAAAACACATTTTTACTCTAGTCTATAACTTGTGTATTTTATCTAAACCGTATCCACTGTCTAATGGTGTTGGCCGGATCTGACAATTTATTTTGAAAAGAGTCTTAGCTAGATAAGATAATCCTACTTTACCTGAACGCAACATGACGCAATTGTTTCTCTGGATTCTGATTGGCGAGCTGTGCAGTTGGAAAAACAGGACACGCCATATTGACAATTTTTGAAGAGAGTGCTACATTTCTGGGTAGAAATGGCTAAATAGTAAGTGTCAGCTTCTTATGAAAAATGCGAAATTAGTCTTTTCATATATGGTCGCTTTTAATATAGAAAGGGGTCTAATTATATACCGTGAATACGATTTTTCGGCTGGTCTATCTCGCGGTGTTAGCCTCATCCGTTAGCGTCAGTGCTGTGAACGGATCGAGGCGCTGTCGTGCCTCATAAAGCGGTTTACCTCGTTCCAGTTCCCTTTATTCAATCTTTATTTTACAGGCTTTGTTTTATCAACGGGAGACTCTGAGATGTTGCACACGGGGGCGATGGGTGAGGCCTCCATGGAAGGTTGGTCCTACACCGATGGGTCTAGTATCTGCCTGCGGAGTCGTCCGAGCTCCAGTGAGAGAGACAGCCAGGTGCGGGCTGTCAGAGTGGCTCTTCTGTCCAAGCTGGGGCCCTACGAACCCGTCCTGACCTACCTACAGTCTGTTCTGGTGTGGGAACGACCTTTCCACAGTGTCCTTCTCTACATTGTTGTCAACATTGTATTCTGGTAAGTTTTCATCTCCATGTAATAGTGTAGTTTTAGGTTCAGACCTATTTCCAGACATGCCTGCAAACAGGTGGTGCAAGTATTTCACCTGTCATTTTAAGTTAAAGGCAGAGCGGCTGTTCTATTTATGGACACACCAACGTGGTTAAATGTAGGATTATCTTCTTAACATTTTTTTCCTCATAGGTATCACAAGATGAAGTTAATTCCCATTCTGAGTTTCACTTATTAAATCCAGAGACTTATGAGTTTGTAACTTCACTGTGATTAAATGCATTGAAGACTAGTACGTATTTAGAGTATGCAATAAACTTCCAAAGTGTGTTATTAGTTAAAAAAAAAACATAAATCCATTATAAGTAGATGTGATTTATTGAAGGTTTTTCATTTGGTTTGGAGGGTTGATACTTGAATTGCAAATCGCACTGATATGGGACATGCAAAGAAAGCATGACTGGCCACAGTAGTGTTGGAGTTCAGCCTTTCAGAGCTGAATAGATTGGGTCATTCCATTTTTCAAGGCGTTTCTGTTTTATTTTTGATTGAACACAAACTACAATGGAAAGGCAGCTTTAGTTTTGAGTGTAATATCAATAAGTCATACTTATTGCAAGATTCTTGATTTGTTTTTTATATGTAAATATCTGCGCCCAGAAAGTTCTTTCAATGAATCTTTTGGCTAGGGCTGAAACAACTAATCGGATTAAATGATTATTTAAATAATCATCAACTAATTTAGTAATCAGTTAATTGTTAAATGGAGTATAGAGAAAAAACATGCCTTTAACTGACAGAGGAACCCACTTAGAGCAATAGTTATATCAAATTGTAAAAATATATAAGAAACGTTTTGCATTAATTATTAAAAAAAAAAAACATTTTCGTCTGCCAATATGCACTATCAAGAACTCAAGTGGCAACATTTTAGTTTTTACCCTGGTTTAATTTCTTAAAAAATCTTCTTCAAGGATTTAATCGATTAATAAAATGACAGGTTGTGCTGATAGATTAATTAGCTGATGCAACAAAAGACAAAACAAAAATGTCAATGACAGCATTTAGTTTTTAATGTCCCCAAAAGTTCAGAAAAGTTTAATTTTTGAATATTGATATGATTTTTTTTTTTTAAGAAAAAAAAAAGCAAAAAACTTGTCAACAAACCCCAATGTAGAAATGAATAGCTCACTGGGGAAATTCTACCGAAATTCTAATCCAACTTCAGCAGCGAATGTCGACTCCAGTTTCACGTCATGAGTGAGTGAAACTGGATTTTTTTAATCGGTTTGCAAAGTAATCGTTAGTTGCAGCCCTACTTAAGGCTGACCAAAACCTGCAGCACTCTTTGGTTCAACAGTTTACGACTTTTATGATCTTTGATCAAAACAGCACTATGAAGCTTAAAATAATCCCTGAGATGTGGAAAATAAATTGTGTTATAATTGCGCTGTAGATGCAAATTGCTAAAATTTTTTTTTTTTTTTTTTTCCCTTTTAGGCAAAAAGTTATATCATTCTTTTTTTTTATTATGGAACTAAAAAACAATACACAGTAAAAACAGAATTAATAGATGGTAACACGGAAGAAAAAGGTCCCACTTTCCCTCCCACTAATGACAGCCGCCTCCAAACCCATCCGCAGGTGACAAAGACATACTCAGTTACAACTTCAAATGGTAACTGACTATTATGAAGTATTGAGAGTAAACTTTATATAACATTGAATTAAATAGTGTACTAAAAACATTTATAAGGTTTTATCACATCCATGCAAAGAGCCTTTAAGCACTTATATTTTTTTTTCTATAATTCTAGTGGAAACCATACATCTTGAATCCAAATGTGTAACAAACTGGGCTCAGAGTAACAAAACAAAACAACAACATCACATTACATTTGTCTGATATCTGTAAATGATTATAGATGCCAAACATAAAAAAGGGTTTCTCTGGTTTGCCTTACAAGAGAAAAAACAACATCATAAACATTTCTGATTGGGTATCTTTGTCTAGATTTTATTATTCAGTGTGTTTATTTCCAGGATCAGTAACAGAAAATGGTTTAATGTTGCTTTATTAAGCCAGGTTTCATAAAAGAGTGTGCCTCTCTCTACTTTTCAATGAAAGTCACTCAACGTTTGTATGCTGGCTTTTAAAGTGGATTAAAAGTAGGGATGGACAGTTACTTAATTTGCATATATATTGCAATTTTATTCGATGATGGGAAAATTAAATTTCTGATATTTTAATGTTCATTACAGTCTGTGTGTAAACATTTGTCTCTGAGTGATGTTCCGGCTTTAATTTGTTTTTACTTGAAGAAAATATTTTAAAAATGTTGCATTGCAAGCATTTCATAAACATAACAAAATAATAGTGATAAGTTTTTACAGGAAGCTGTTATTGGCATTCTTGGCCATCCCTCAGATGCTTTTATAACGCTTATATCAATATAAAAATTATATTGTATAAACTGAAATTAACCCTTTAAAGCCTGATCCAAGAATAAAACAAAACAGAAAATTACTTTTTTTGGTTTGAAGTCCTTATTTGGCCTTTTAACAAAATATGTAAAAAGAAAAAACAGAAATACATTTTTGATATTAATAATTTATTACTATCCGATAAGTCAAGATTATTTTTTGTGTAGTCTTCTGCCCTCTGTTATCAGGTATATCTGATTGAGTACAATAGGATTTTGAGCAAAATTTTTACCATTAAATTATGCAAAAGGTGTTAGACGCAAAACATTACGGAAACCGTATGTATCAAATATGATACATTTGGCATTACAGGGTTAAGAAATATATCATAATATAGTAGGTTTGGGCCATAATGTTTAACCCTACTAAAAAAACTAGCCATAAAAAATTAGCTTTAAGAAGTGTCAATACTTAGTTTTGGAGAAAGTTAAAAATAAAAGTCTGTTTCCTGAAAATGGATCAAAAATATTTATTTTCATCTACCACTTCAGCTGGACAATTGGATGTATCCCATTCTTTAACTGTGATTAAGGGGTAGAAAATGGCCCCCATGCTGCACTTTGAACCCCCAATCTGTTGGCTTTTGCAGCGCGGCCATGAAGGGTCAATATTAGGGAAAAGTCTCAGGCAATCCTTCTCTGGTCCAGTGATCTCTTGTCTCTTATGATGTATTTTCCTCAATATAGATTCTGTTTCCATTTTGTTTTGGACATAAAAGTATGTTATTTTTGGCTAGGTCTAAAACAGTTTATTTCTTGTGATTCAAAGGAACAGAAGGGCGACCCTTAAGGGTTTTGTGGTCCGGTGAACTCTGAACATAGCTGTTCAATTATGCAACTTTCTACATTCAGGCTTCTCTGAATTGTTTGTTTGGGATTTTCTGTCTGATTTTCCCGGCAGGTTCTTTGCTTTGACTTCACTGCGTTTGCTGTTCCTGCTGGCGACAGGCCTGGCTGTGCTTGTATTTGCTGATACCTGGAGGAATAAGATCTGGCCAGAAATTAGAGGTGCTTGAATCTTTATTTATACAAAATATGTTTACACAATTTAAACAGACTTTAAGGGTACATTTATATTATGGATACGTTTTATTATTCACAATAATACAACATTTTCTTACAGACTCCACAGTTTTGAGTCTAGCTAGCATCACATTTCATTCATATAGACATATACAAATTTTAACATGAAATATTTAAGATAACTTTTAAATGTTTTCTTTCTACCCACAGTCAGAAAGTTGGAAGAAACAGAAAATGAGAGGTTTGTTTTACTTTCCACAGCTAATTTCTGTGACTGTTATTTTTCGCTGCATCCGTTCAGCTCTTAATTTTAAAGCATTGTGTTTATCCAGCTGGGGTCTGGTGCAACCCGGCATCCTCAGTGTGCCTGAACTGTGCCATCACTTAGCAGAGGTCTGGGTCAGTTCGTCCATTTTCACATCCAGCATGGTGGAATACAAACGACAAAACCCTGGCAATGTGAGAATCACACACTGAATCTACAATAACTTCATAAATAAATGCTTTATCCCCTTTACAGGCATGTTTCTTTCAATAGTTATCCATCCAGATAATTAAAATCTCTGGTGGTAAACATTTTGTTGGGTCTCTGACCTTAAACAATACATGTCTTGTTTTTCTGACAGTTCTGTGTCCTGATCTGTGGAGTTTTCTCCTGCTTGGCTATGATTGGATACTACATTCCTGGATTGGTGCTCTTCTACTTTGCATGTGAGTCCCAGTAGCTTAACCAGTTCTGACTACAGACCCACACTCTATTATAAGGCTGTGTTTGCAGGTAATTTTAGCCTGAAGAGTGATTAAAAATGCATGGGTGATGAAATCAGATCTGTGGGGCCCCTGGTACCAGGGTCCGGTCTGTGAGGTGATTAAAGCTGGGATGAGACATACAAGACGGGAGCAAGAGAGGGCAGCCAGCTAGGTAGGAAGCTAAGGAGGTCAGACAAAGAGTGGGCTAATCTCCAGACCTTTTACTGGTGTGCTGCAAAGCTCAGCAGCGAGGACCAAGCCGTAACAGCTTGTTTGTTATGCCTTACTTCCCTCTACAACAGTTTGTCACTTTACAGAATCTAATAGGCATGTGATTATCCACACAGTCTGCAAAGTAAATCTGTTCGGATCTAAATTTAAATCCTCAGAACATTACTCTGTGTCACATGAACTGAAAAGAAAGATCCGCTCCTGTAATTGCTGGTGACATTTTTCTTTCTGCTTTAGTGTTGGCCTCTCTACTCGCCCCTCTGGCTGCCTATCACCGGGTCTTTCAGCATCTGTATGTCAGGCTGGAGCCAGTCCTGCAGCGGCTGGACTTCAGTGTTCGTGGATATATGATGTCAAAGCCCATTGATAATCAGTGTAAGTTACACATGCATTTTTATTCATAAATTAAAAGCCTTAAAGCCATAAAGCTATTTAAAGTTGTAGGGAAATCATATAATAAATGTCAAATCATTCTGGCTCAAACATATATATAAATGTACTCTTTATCAGACGATATTTTCCAAAATGTAGAAAATTCTATTAAAAAAAATATGTCTTTAAAATCTGTGGGTTTTGGTTGGGCCAGTTAATTATACATCAGCTTGTACACCTAAATTTGAATCATATATATTAACTGTCATCTGTCAATCAAATTCTTTCGGTCATGGCATCTGGATTCTGATTTCATAGCTAATACACGCAACGGTTGAAATAAGAAATAAGGATAATTTCCTTTCCCATTGAGTTCCGTCCCAGTGTTCACAGGCATGGACGTCAGTGTCTTCAGCAGGCGTATAACTAACAGAACTGGCAGCGTTGTGCGAGGCAAGGGCTCAAACATGTACGGCTGTAAGCCTTCTGCACCAAACCAAGCTTCTGCCGCCCTGGCGTCCTCTTCCACAACAACTTTGTCCCCGCTTTCCTCCTCTAAATAAAAAATGTATGACGGAGGAGACTCATCCATGACCTCCGACACAAAACTCTCCTCCTCTAGCATGTTTCCGCTGTCCATAGCGTTCCTTTACAGTGTAGTTTCACCAATTTAGTGCTACTTGGTCCCAATGTAATTTCCCTTTGGGAACCTACTAGCACTAAGTTGCTAACTGGTTAGCAAGATGCTTCCGAGAAACTGGCCACAATCAAACATGCTTGCGAATCTTCCGCCGCAACAATCCTGCCCCCTTGATAAACGACCGATCACATTCACTTTATTCACTCATGTAAAGTCGTGCACCACTCGGGAGAATTCAGAATTCAGCTGTTGGAACAGCTGTTTCCCTACGACTTTAAAGCTTTACGCCTCACTGTTTCCTATGGATGGAACGGTTTATGAAAACCGTCCGAACCGTTCGGTTCGACTGTCTCTGTTCGGTTCGCTTGTGTTGCGTTCGGTTCATGCGCTGCTCCTTTTTCTCATAGGCGAAGCGTTTACACTCCAGAGCAGAAGGTGGCGGTACTGCGACCAAAGCCAACCACCAGTAGTAAACAAGAAGAAGAAGAAGCGAAGCAGCGTAGCCGGGTGTAGCAGAAAAAAATCAGTTGTTGTGGAGAATTGTGTGGGTATGGCGAGTGGGAAAGAACAGGAGTTGGAAGACGCGCCAGCAGCACTTTATAGGTCTGCTGTATGGGACCACTTTGCATTTAGAGTGACCTACGATGACGACGGAAAGAAAGTTGTGGATAAAAGTGCAACAGTGTGCAAGCATTGTGCAACACGTTTTGTTTATGCTAACGGCAACATGACCAACATGTCAGGCTAACAATCAACATGAACCGAACCGAACTGAAAACCGTGACCACGGAACCGCGAACCGAACCATGGATTTTTTTAACCGTTCCACCCCTACTGTTTCCTTTCATTAGTTGAACCAGTAAGATCAGGGCTGTGTGTGTTTCAGAGCTCTAAAACTATGATGTTAATTCTGCAAAAAAGACGCATGTTGGTTAAATCAAATTGAGGCTTTAAACTTAAATCTGCTGTGGAACAAATCTTTTTAGGCATAGGTGAAGGTTTGCTGCAACTTTATTGGATTAGTCCAGGTTTATCAGCAAAAAGGTGAACAGCATTGCTTAACGGCTCTTTTATTTGTCATAAGTTGAACTCGATATAATAGACGCAGTTTTCCACTAAAGTGGCCCCACTCTCAGATTGGAGTCTTGTTTGAACCTCTTCTATATGAGGTCACAAATCTTTTTTAATGTGACTACAGTGGGGAAAAATAGAGGCGGGTTGGATGCAATTCAAAGTCACTTTCCATTAACGTTTATCACAACTTTGCAGCAGACACAAGTGAAAGCAGTCAGTAACAATATAGTGGGATGGACTGCAGCTTCAGCAGCATCGCTCAGAGGACTGACAGTGAAATGTTAGCCCTCATTAATATATGGAGCGAAGCCTATTGAGGTCTGATAGGAAGGTTCGTATAGCAGTCGTTTGGATGCACAGCTGTGCAAAGCTTGTGTACAATCCTGAAAACGCAACACTTTACAAAGCTGAAGAGGTTACCCAGCATGCAGTAATCTGCCCCTTTCTCCAAGGCAATACAACACGCTGCTATAAGTGTATTGAGCAATGAGAGGAGGGGTGCTAACATGATTGTCAACATTTTAGAGTTCTGTGATGTTTTTAACATCCTTACTGGCTGTGTCCTGGCAACAAAGCATACCTCTGTGCTGAGCTGTTTGCCAAAACGGTAGTCATGAAATGCTAGAAAACAGTTTCACTCTTTTATTCACGCATTAACCTCCAAGCCCTCACTGACATATTAAATGGCTTTTTGTTCAACAACACTTCAAACTACATGTGTTTCTTTCATGTTTCCCGGACCAAAGCATGCTGAACATGACAGCATTGTTATTGTTTGGAGCTACAAGCTGTTCTAACTAGAGTCAAATTAAGGCAACATTTTCAAAGTAAATAACCTTGCAATATTGTTAGTTTTCAGGGGGAAAAATGTAAATTCAGCATTAAGGCCAGCAGGGGAAACATAGCCTCTGTTTTAGTGGAAAGAACTCTTAATGCTTCAGTTTATTAAGACATGGTTAATATTATAGCCCTGACTCTGTTTCAACAGTTCTGGAAAATGTCCCCTCCAGAACATGTTGGCGGAGCATTGGAGCGCAGAGCGGCTTTCAATTCAAAGGTTTCGCTCCGTCTTAATTTAAATTCATGTTTGACTTAAAACTTAGCCAATGCCTATGCTGTAGTCTGTGCCTATAATCTGTTATGTAGGGATGCACGATATAATCTGCCCCCTATCGGTATCGGCCTGTATCGGCCTTAAAACTGAATATCGG